CAAAGGAGAATATATGAGGCTTGGCAAATGGGAACGGAATCTAACTATAGTAACAATAGTAATAGGGGGTTAGGTCTCCGTCGATACGGAGGAATTTTCCGTCAATGAATGAAACCTTTTAACAAATTCATTCACTCAATTTGCCAAGTTTCTGATTAACGAGTTGCTCAAATAGGTCAGTTTGTGGCTTGGCATACTGTATAACATTTTGTTTTGATACGATGTTAACACCACTCCAATTATTTAAAATCGAATAATGTGTGGTCAGGTATTTATTTCGTAATTAAAATGATGATTTTTAAAAAAGGCGTCAATTTCAAAGTATTATTTACGGCATTCTTTGCAGATCTCACTATGAAGGAAACCTAAACTTTGTTGATTACTACGACATATGATAGCATTTATGTGACGGTGATGACGGTAGATTACATCATTTATTTCTAGTTGATTGAGAAAGATTTTTTCCATTTGAAGATCTACAGAGAGATCTACAGATGTTCTTGGTCAAACCCTTTTCTAAATGATGGGATGAATGAAATCAAAACAGTAATAATAGTAATTTACTTTTATGTGCATGTGTGGCACATTACGTTATATTAATTTGTGGCAAGTAATTATTAAATTTCTTTGATTAATTTTATACTTGTTTCGGCTACTTACAAATTAGTTGGGTTGTTTAGAAAATAATAATAGTTTCTACACATTCTCTCGTTACCTGCTTGATTGCTTGATTGATTGAATGTCAGATCATAAAAGTCAATTAAAATTGGTAATCAAATGATCAATAACCGAGCAAATCTAACTAAACTTATCAAACCAATTCAATAATTAATTATTACTTAAAACTGTCATGATTGCGATGATCACGACAAATATGCAACTTATTTTCTCGTTTCTAAATTGCTTTGTTATCCTTAATTTTTAATTACAATTGATCACTTTAGTCTAATATATATGGAAATGATCACCAACAACAAATAAACAAATAAATTGTGATGAATGAATGACAAGAAATTAAGTTTAATTTAAAATGAGTTGACGGGTGCATTAAAGTGTATGCATGTGTGTATGAATGAATGAATGCAATTAAGTAGGTGAAAGTTATGCACAAGAATTACAAAAATCGACGTGAAAGAAGATCTTTATAAAATACAGTAAATGCATTATGGTTATCTATTATTAATATTAATTAATAGGATTCCTTTTCTCCCCTTCCTTTCTCATACACGACTTTTCTTCTTAACGTCCAATTCCTGTTAATTCACGTAACAAATCAAAAAATTAGCAAAGCCCATGAAAATTTCCATTTTACACGATCATCACCATGTTACACGCGAATAAAATAAAAAATTTGATCGACAATTATGAACGCTAGTACATATTAATATTAATAGTAATAATAAATAATAAATAAAACAGTCTTTCTCTATTATATTGCCGGGAATAAATAAAAATATCCTAGTTTAAAATTTAAATATCAACAAATACTATATATCTATATAACTTGCAAAGTGTGTATTACAGCATGGTGGCTTATCGATTGATATATCTATTACGGGTTTCCTAATACTATCGTTCTTTTGCTCGCTCCTCTTCTTCATACTTGGCGAATCTGCAGGTTGAATAAATAATACAATACGTAACAATAACAAATAACTCCTGTAAACCCTAAAAAGTCTTTACAAACGATTACAAGCTTACTTTGCTTGCAATTCGCGGCTCGTTAACATCTTTAGAATAATACAAAAGCAGAAAACCGAAATACCTCTACTTGGTTAATCTAATGTCTACGGCCGAATCACAAACACAATACTTTACTTTGTGCATTGCATTATACCAAATCCTCGCACACTATACCTGAACCTTACTGCTCTAACCAACCAGACTTTTATACCCAAGGTCCAACTAACCTCATACTATAGATTCATACACACACAAAAAAAGCAACAATTTACAACAAAAACAAAACGTGGTTTTTAAATTTTAAAATTTTAAAATAATAATAAGAAACGATTTATTACCGTGTAACCAACATTTGACCAAATAGTCAACGCATGTTACAAAAATACTTTTGCTAAATTCGTCATTACATATAAGCGCTGATACAGTAGATTAACATGCAGATTAATCCTCCTGGTTTTTTATTTTCATTGATAAAAATGGTTTCTTTGAAAAAAAATTACTTTATTGAGAAAAATTAAAATTTTATGAAATCGATCATCTCCAATTTCTGGGGAGTGTATATTTTTTTTAAAGTAAAAACTTAAATGGAGAACACAAAACATTTTTTACCCCCAGGACACATGCAGAAAACAAATAAATATGTGGCATACAAAATTTCTTAACGCATTGTTACAATTTTTATTTATCTACTGTATTTATTTATCCTGAATAATAATTGATAATAACTATTAAGCATCATAACTCCTTCCTAATTCACACAATCGAATTCACACACAAAACCAACTCCGCTTAACCATTCAATCCCATCCAATTTGCTGATTATTTATTTGCTATTATTGTTTGTTTCCTTCTTGATCGATTAATATGGGAAGTTACGACCGATGTTTTTTTATCTTAAAATTAATTAATTAATTTACTCGATTAAACAAATCGATTGATTTGTTTTCCTTTTTTAATTATTAATATTTTCATACATTCCTTTTCAATGTTTCCTCGCCACTACATAACGACAACAATACATTATTGTCAGTTTGATTGTTGTTTAATTGATTTATTTGATTTATTGATTTATTGATTGATTGATTAATAATTAAAATTAATTAACTAATCAATTTTATTTATTTTTTTAATTAATTCAATCAATTTTATTTATTTATTTTGCTTTTTTATTGACAAAAATAATCAATCAATCATATTCGGAGTTGACTTCCTTTACATTTTCCTCTCCAATCTCATTTTTTTAATTCAATTTCAAATTTTGAATCTCCTACATGTATATTCTCTTTATGTTTTTTCCCAATTAGAAACAATTTAATTTAAATTTTAATGTATTTTATTAATTAAATGTTTAAACAGCAAGCTTTAGGTAAACCAATTAATTTTAATTAATAATAGTTGATTAAGTTACCAATTAGTTGGTAAAACGAACTACTATTATTTATTATTATTATTCTTGGGAACTTTAAGGGTTTAATTTAAAAATTTTGGAGTACTACACATGATGCATTATAATACATGTTCATCAATCAACCAATAGTATTTTTACACATGTGTAATACCAATTTTTTTTAGAAAAAAATTTTTTTTTTTTTCAAAATAAAAAATTTAAAATATGGTAAATGTAGTTCTAGGTTTAGATGCAAAAAATCAAGCATCACTTATAAAGGCGATAACGTTGGGTCTTATAGCATTCGTAGCGATAGCAAGTAGATTATTTAGTATAATACGTTTCGAGAGTGTCATTCATGAGTTTGATCCCTGGTTTAATTATCGTGCAACAAAATATTTGGTATCAACAAATTTTTATGAGTTTTGGAACTGGTTTGACGAAAGATCGTGGTACCCTTTAGGTAGAGTCGTAGGTGGCACGGTCTTTCCTGGTCTAATGGTAACTTCAGCTACCATATACAATGTATTACACTCTTTAAATTTCCCTGTTGATATTCGTAACATTTGTGTACTGTTGGCACCACTTTTCTCAGCCTTCACAGCTTATGCTGCTTATTTATTGACGGCGGAAATAAAAGATTCGTCAGCTGGTCTTTTAGCAGCTGCTTTCATCGGGGTGGTGCCCGGTTATATATCAAGATCTGTCGCTGGATCATATGATAATGAAGGAATTGCTATTTTCTTGTTAATGTTTACTTTTTATTTATGGATCAAAGCGCTCAAACAAGGTTCAGCATTTTGGGGTGCATTGACAGCATTTTTTTATTTTTATATGGTAGCAGCTTGGGGTAATTATATATATGTGTATATGATTTTTAGTGTCAAATAAATACATATATATATATATTTATTTATTAATCGATTAATTATACATCGACGATAGGTGGATATGTGTTTATAATTAACTTGATCCCACTTCACGCGTTCGTATTGATATTAATGGGTAGATTTTCAAATAGATTATATGTGGCATATTCATCATTTTATGTTCTCGGTACGCTGATGTCAATGCAAGTTCCATTTGTCGGATTCCAGCCCACTTTTACCAGTGAACATATGGCTGCGTTAGGTATGTATATATTTTTTTCGTCCGTTTTGATAATAAAATGCCCCACCCATCTATGTTAACCTTTCTCTATCATTCTCAAAAAAAAAAAAAAAAGGAATATTTGGATTATTACAAATAATAGCATTTGTCGAACTAGTAAGAAGTCATGTTCCCTCGGATCAATTTCAAATTCTATTAAAAAGTTTTGTGGTAATCTCATTTATGATAATGCTTTTGGGATTGGTGTTGCTGACGCTGTCTGGGGTCATTGCACCGTGGACCGGAAGATTCTATTCTTTATGGGATACAGGCTATGCAAAAAAATACATTCCCATCATCGCTTCAGTATCGGAACATCAACCAACAGCCTGGCCATCATTTTTCTTTGATCTTCAACTTTTGGTCTTTTTATTTCCGGCTGGAATCTATTTTTGTTTCAGGGAGTTGAAGGATGAACATGTTTTTGTGATATTGTACGGCATCACATCCTCGTATTTTGCAGGCGTTATGGTTCGGTTAATGTTAACATTGGCACCTATTGTTTGTGTCACGTCGGCTATAACCATATCGAAATTGTTGGATTTGTATTTGGATGTGGGAACGTTGGATGATGAAGATGATGCTGACAGCAATGACAAAAAGGCCACGAATTCGAAATCAGCAACAGATGATAAAGGAAAATCTTTTGATAAATCTGGCAGTGGTGGTGGTGGCTCACGAAATAAACCACAGGAAAAAAAGAAATCTACTGGTGGTGGTTTGAAAGGAATCGGTGATCAATTTTTTGGAGTTCTAGGGTTGGATACTCGTATAATAGTGTTGAGCAATGTCTTTTTCTTTTTGGTGTTATTTACATGGCATTGTACATGGGTAACATCAAACGCATACTCGTCTCCATCGATCGTGCTTGCGTCCAGACAAGCAGACGGATCGCAAGTTATAATTGATGATTTTCGAGAAGCGTATTATTGGCTAAGAAAAAACACAGACTATTCTTCAAAGGTGATGTCATGGTGGGATTATGGATATCAGATAGCCGGGATGGCTGATAGGACAGTGTTGGTTGACAATAACACATGGAATAATACGCATATTGCCACAGTTGGTAAAGCGATGTCGTCGAATGAGGAAGTGGCGTACGAGATAATGAGAAGACATGATGTCGATTACGTGTTGGTGATATTTGGTGGGTTGTTGGGATACTCGGGCGATGACATTAACAAGTTTTTGTGGATGATACGTATTGCCGAGGGAGTTTATCCAAAGGATGTGAAGGAAAGTCTTTTTTTCAATTCGAGAGGAGAGTATCGAGTGGATGATGAGGCCACACCGACAATGAGGAATAGCATAATGTACAAAATGAGCTATCATAATTACAATGAATTATTTGGAGGACAAGGTGGTCATGACAGAGTCAGGAATTCAAGATTGCCAAGCGGTAAGATTGTTTTGAATACTTTAGAGGAGGCATACACCACAGAGAATTGGATAGTCAGAATATACAAGGTTAAGGATTTGGATATTATAGGACGTAGTTTGGAGGATGCAACGAACTTTGAAATGGGAAAAAAAAAAAGAAGACGTACAAATAAACCAAAAAGAACATGAATGAGTGATTGAATGATTGAGTGAATTGATTTGATTGAATGATTGGTTTGGTTTGATTTGATTTGAATGATTGTTTGTTTGAATTGTTTGTTTATTTGATTGTTTGATTGATTGGATGTTTTGAGGTTAGGAGCTTGGCGTTTTAATTTTATTAATGTATTTATTAGGTTTATTAATGCATAATTTTTATATTTAAAAAAAAAAAATTTCACAAATATTAATGCTTTATTATATGTTGTATATTACATATTACATTAAAACTTTTGTATATTTTTTTATTTTGTTGTTTGTTTTTACTTTGTTTTATTTGTTTGTTGATGTTTTCTTATTTTAAAATTAATTTATTTTCCAAAAATCTTTATATGCAAAATATATCAAATATAAATAGATTTATTAAAAAAAGCAAAAGCGTGATATAGTTTTAATTGGTTTAATACTGATGAAATATAATTGGTTAATTATAGCCATAAAAAGAGTGAATGTGAGCGAAAGTGATAAATGAATAAATGAATTTGATTTGTTGATTATGTCCTTTGTACTACAACGATTTATTTTTTTTGATGTTTTTCTTTTAAAAATCCTGTTCAAAAACCTGTAAAATAAATTTACAATAATGATCTTGATGTTACTATTATTATTATTATTACTATATTACAATATTACACGTTTTATATAGATTTCAATGAATATATATTAAAATCAGCATAAAAAGTAATTTAATGTAGTACACTTTTCTTCCAACTTTCTTAATTTTTGGAAGCAAAGCGGGAAAATAGAAAAAAAGGTTTTGTGTAATTGAAAAAAATTTTTTTTTATTAAAAAGGGAGAGGTTTTTAATTAATTATAAATTTTTTTGATCGTAAAAAACATTTTTAATGTGATACGATCACTCACGTAATTTTATCACATACACACAAAATATAAAGTAAATCCGAATTAAAACCTGATTTTTGTGAAAAAATTTAAAAATAAAATCGCCGAGCTATCTTTTTTTGTATATTACTATAAATGGTGTATATCTTTAAAAAATTAAAGTTATATCTTTTAATTAATTAATTAATTAATTAATTAATTAGTAGAAAAACATACAGTTAAAAAGTTTGTTATATATAAAGTTTATTTATAGATTACACATTCATTATTATTATTATTATTATTATTATTATTATTATTATTATTTTATTATTATTATTATTATTATTATTATTATTATTTTACAATGTTTTAGTATGGAATCTTTTTTTTTTTAAAATAATTATAAAATCCGACATTACACAAAAAGTTGACTTTTGTACTTCTTTCAATAATGTTGTTTATTAGCCGAAAGAAAATAACAATCCTACTACTGTTACTACCATTTGGACTCCAATCGGATTCTAAACATCACATATTTCAATTTCAATTAACAAAAAAAAAAAAATTAGGAAAAAAATTTTTTATTTATATTATTTACTTTACACACACACACATGTAGATTATTATTTATTGTATATATATATATATATAAAAAAAAAAAAAAACTGAAATTTTTTATGTCACATATTGTAAAGTTTATGAAAGTAAAAAAAAATTATAAATATTCATAATTTCAAATGCTTCAAAAAAAAAAAAAATTCAAAAATTTTAAAAAAATTTATTTTTTAATAAAAAAAATAATTTAAAAAACTTAATTTAAAAAAAAATCTTTTTTTCCAAAAAAAATTATCAAATGTAAATTAATATTTGTATGTGTATTTATTAATTATAATTACTTTATATATATTTTATTTATTGAAATTTTTTATTTAAACACGTAAATTTTTTTTTTTGATAAAATTTTTCCGCTGGATTCCGGAATTAATAAATTATTTTTCTTTTAATAGTCAAACATTTAATTATCAAAGAAAAATAAGCTAGAGAAATTCCGGCGATCACATCAAACAGCTAATAAAAAAAAACTTAGAACAAAACCTTTTTTTAATATATATATATACACTATTTATAAATCACGCTATATATCTCTCTATTTAATTTTTTTCTCTTTCAAAATTTTCTTTAAAATATAAATCTTTTTTTAATTTTCTCTTTCCTTCACCACCAGAAAATAATTTTACAAAATAATTCGTGAACACATATCAACTTCGTAAAATAATCAAAAAATCAAAACAAAAACCAAGACTATAATAATCATGCAAACGAATACAGAGGATTGTTATTGGGCATTACTATCCAGAAAAGATTTTAGCTTCTTGTACTTGTCACCTTGGTTGTCGAACAATTTGAAAAATGAATCATCAGATTTATTATTGGGAACTTCTCTTTTCGACTACTTTCGTCCTGATGAAAAGATGTTGGCTCAAAAAGATTTGACTAGAGTTAATAATAATAAATTATCGCTTTCCATCACAAGGTAAAACATGTTAAACATACATGATGAAAACGTAAAGTAATTTGATGCCAAAATAAAACTTCAATGAACGCGTTTTCATTTTCATTTTGCTTTTTTTTCCTTTAGATGTCACTTTAGCACCATTTCTAAAATCAAAAGAAAATTGAACTTAAAATTCTCGTCTTTTTCGCCAACAACAAGTACATTCAACAACAACAACAATAACAACAACAATATTATTAACATCAATCATGGTTACCCCTACTCTTCTTCCTCGACCTCTTCTTCTTCCTCCTCGTCACCACAAATTCGTCCAATCAGCACAACTGCTCTTGATTTATCATCATCAACTAATGTTGATGAATATATTGTTATGGATATCGGAATCTCTCTTGTTAGTCATGATATCATTTTAGCATGTTTTCATTCTGACGATGGTAAATATTCTCTACTACCATCATTACTATTATTATTATTGTTATCATTATTGTTATCATTATTGTTGTTGTTATTGTATTGTAATCATTATTTCTCTTCTCCTCAATCAATAAGGTCGAGTACATAATGGTGATAAATGTAGTTGCGGTGAATCTTTTGAATTCACTCAAAAAGTGAGTCTTTTTATAAATGATAATGAGATAACATGACTTCTTTTGTCCTTTGTCATCCTAACAAATTATTCATCCATTATATAATAGACAATAGATGAATTAAACAAATGTTTAAATAATAAAAATTCATCGTCACCAAATGGTCCAGCAATCAAATTCACAACTCCTCCTTCAACACCACATTCCGAAAAATTCTTTTCCGGGAATAATCCATTGTTTCCACCGCCACCACCTTCCGATCGTATATTTCAAATATTTGATAGAAAATCAAAGGATCTGATTTTAACTTGGCCTAATCCAGCCATCTCATTTACCGATAATAGTAATAATACTGCCTATTACAATAAAAATGATTTCTCTAAATTAATACTAGACTGTGTCAACAACGACAACAAGATTAACAATTATAACAATTACAATACTCCAAACTGTTTAAAAGCTACAGTTCATGATAAACGACTTTTATTGTTGTCATCATCCGGATCTTATGGTCATGTCGAAAGTCTGATAATTCCATATGGAAATATCATCTTTGCCAGTTTTCAAATATTATCCAACACTATAAATCCTTCTTCTTCAAAATTATCATTGACTAACAACAATAACATTGGTAATGGTAATTTTAGTGAATCTACTCCTTGTTCACCAACATCTACTTTAAAATTAACAACTCCAGTATGTATGACTGCTGTTACTGGTAGTAGTGGTGATGATTATAGAAGTAGTAATAAAAGACCAAGATCACTCTCCCCACTTCTTTCAATTAGTTCCTTACAACAACCACAACATCATCATACTTTATATAGCAAAAGACATAAAATGTCATCACCAAACAACAACAACAATAAATTGTCATTATTTCCGTCACAACCAAGACCACTTGTTGTCGATGATTCAGCATATAATACTTCAAATCCTATTTCATCGCCTAATCATCATCACCATAATAATAACAACGACAACAACAGTCAACATTTTTTTCCACAACAACATTATAATAACAACAATAATAACGATAATGAAAAACCTTCAATACCATTATTACAACAACCTTATTTCATAAATCATTATAATTACAATGTTTACCATCACAACAATTACCAAAATCATAATAATTTGCATGTTCATAACAATAACAATCATAATAATTTGCATAATAATCATGAAGTTAATGACGGTGACGGCGACGGCAGCGGCAACAATACATACCCATCACCAAAAAGTCATAATAACAATCTACCATTTATTTCGCACAATCCATCATCGTCAATATCATCTCCACAACAGTCACATTCATTAGCACAAAATAACAATCATCACATCAATCATCAATATCAACAATCACTGTTGTTATCTTCGACAACAACAGCAACAACAACAACAATTCCAAAATCTCAAAAACCCAATTCTTCATCTTTACACTCTACTCGATCACCTGCGTCATCACAAAGAAAAAATAATAATGGATTAAAAGAGTGTGAGAGTTGTCATACAAATACTAGTCCTGAATGGAGAAGAGGTCCAACTGGACATAAAACGTAATTATCATTTTATTTTAAAATTTTGTTTTATTAATTTATTCCCAACAACCATATTAATATATTATATTTACATTGTTGTTCCGATATTATACCAGTCTCTGTAATGCTTGTGGATTAAGATATTCTCGTACCATAGCAAGAGAAAATCGTAAAAAAGAACAAGCTCACTCGGAAGAAGAGATGAGGAAACGTGAACAACGTGAACGTGATGATATGGCACGTGAACGAGCGCAAAGAATGATGGATCATCAATTATTGAATAATTCTCATGCCTTTTATTATAAATAATAATAATAATAAACTACTTCATAGAATATTATCATCATAATCTATACAATTGCATAATCATCATAATCATCATAATCATTATCATCATAATCATTATCACTCATCATAATCATCATCATCAAGTTTAACTTTTTTGAAAAAAAATAACTTGATGATAATAGATTTTTTTTTTGTAAAATATTTATTTTTATTTTTATTTTTATTTTAATATTATTTAAATATATACATATATATATATCTTCCCTTTTCTACTTTTTTTGAATTTGATATTAGTATTATTAATAATTAGCAATTATTTTTTTGGGGGTTAGAAAACTTTCTTGTTATTTTTTTTTTGGGGAAATGGTTTATTTTTTCTTCTTTTTTTAACTGTTAAGGCTTTTTTATTTTGTGAATCAACTCATTGGTGGCAAATTATTTTACTTTCTCAAAGTTATCAATATTATATTAAGACATCGATCACGATTTGATTTTTTTTTATCACTTTATATATATATATATTTATTTATTTATATATATATGTGTGTTGTTGTATGTAAAATTTATGTAAAATTTATGTAAAAAGTTTTATGATTTATTTTTATTATTACTTTATATATATATTACTTTTCTCTCTTTCTTTTTAATTATGAAAAATATATTATGGTTTTTTACACTATATACATCTTATTATCGTAATAATAATTAATAATATTAATATTAATAATAATAACAAATAAAAAAATTGTAGAAAAATTTTCTAGATTTATTATATTTATAGTCTAGTTTATTATCACGTGGACACACGATGCAAGATTGTGCATTGTGCTTTAGATGTAAATTTTTTCCAGAACATTGCTAAACAAATAAAAAAAGGCATGTTACTCTTTCTTATCTATTGTTTTTTGTGTCAAGATTTTTATTTATTGTATTTTGCCAAAAAAAAAATGGAGATAAGCGAATATTGCTTTAAATCTTTTTTTTGGCAACGATAAAAATTTTATGCATAATAATCTGATAGATGATCTCCCTTTTCATCCAAAGACATTATAGAGAAAAGTGATCATAATCTTCAAAGATAAGATTATCTTTTTATAGGAAAAATGACGATACGATTTTTTTAATGCAACTTCAAATTCAGTGATTAGCCAATCATTTATATAAACATCATCTTTATTATAGTAAAAATAATCAATCAGTCCATCTTTTAATCTATTTCTCGTAATTTTTCTCACACAAAAAAACCAAACAAACAATAATAAATAATAAATATTTTATTCCTATATTCTTATATATATATATATATATATACATCTCAATAATCTTTTTTTGTTTTTCTTCCTTGAAATTTCTTTTTAAAAAGAGTTAAATTTCCCAAATTTTTTCGGATTTTTTATCTCATGCAATCTTTTACTGAAACTACAGCAGCAGATTATATTTCACTTCAAGGTAAATAAATATATACATACATTATGTAATATTAACGAACAAAAGTGAATAAAATGAATTAATTAAATTAATTGAATTATTAATTTTTCTTTTTTGTTTTTTTTTTATGTTATATATAGTTTGGAAATCTTCTTCAACCGGAATATAAATAATTATTTGTTATAAACTTATTAAACACCATATAATATTAATTAATTAATAACCACACAACAATTACAATTATTAAATAAATTTTCAACTATCGACAAACAACTCATTCACATTAAAAATAATAATAATAATAATAATAATAATAATAATAATATAATAATAATAATAATAATAACAACAACTACAACAACATCAAGATGCACATGTTATCAAAACCTATTCTTTCTAGTCGTAACAGACTCTCAACATCAATTTTCTTCACCACTACAACTACTACAAAATCGCTTAATGCATTCAAAATTTTAACTGCCTCACGCAACTTAGCAACTGTGACCGACAAGTCATTCATTCTCAATAAACCACCACCTGCTCCATATGCCAACATTGTTGATAGACCAATCGCCGCTGCATTAAAATTAAAAGACGGTCAAATATTTCAAGGAGTTTCATTTGGTGCTCAAACTCCTGTTTCTGGTGAAGCTGTTTTCACCACTTCGTTGGTCGGATATCCTGAATCAATGACTGATCCCTCGTACCGTGGCCAAATATTGGTGTTCACTCAACCATTAATCGGTAATTACGGTGTTCCAGGAATATTCAAGGACCAATATGGTCTCTTGAAATATTTCGAATCGGACCGAATTCAGTGCAAGGCAATAGTTGTCAATGACTACGCGGAAAGATATTCACATTGGACAGCGGTAGAATCACTCGGTGAATGGTGTGCTCGTCACGGTGTACCTGCTATATCAGGAGTAGACACTCGTGCCATTGTTCATATTTTAAGAAATAAAGGTTCCACTTTGGCTAAATTGGTCGTTGGTGAAGATGCAAATACCCATAACTTTTCAAAAATTGATTACGAAGACCCAAATAAAAAAAATTTGGTCCAAGAAGTTAGCACAGAGATTCCTGTATCGTACAATCCATTTGGCGATATTAAAATAGCTGTTATAGGTTTGCATTTACTTCTCATTACTTTGGGTATTAAATAATAATTGCTAGCAATATCATGTTAATTATAATATTAATCTTATTTATTTATCTAATATATAGACTGTGGTATAAAGACCAATATCTTGAGATGCCTTGTCGAAAAGGGTGTCTCTGTCACTGTTCTTCCATGGGACTTTGACTTTAATAAAATTTCCAACCAATTTGATGGTATCTTCATCAGCAATGGCCCCGGTGATCCAACCAAAGTCTTAAAAACAGTGGAGAATCTTCGTATAGCTTTAGACACATATAAAAAACCAATCTTTGGAATCTGTATGGGAAATCTGTTACTAGGAATGGCTGCGGGTCTCCCCGTCTATAAGCTCCGGTTCGGGAACAGAGGTCATAATGTTCCGGCTCTTAATGTCAGAACCAACAAGTGTATCATCACATCACAAAATCATGGTTAGTTTTATTTGTCTGTCTCTTTATTTTTTAAATATTAAAAAGACCCCAATTTGATTTAATATTTATTTATTTATTTATTTATTCGATTCTTAAAATTAAATTTTCAGGTTATGCCCTTGATGACAAAATTCTACCACAAGGATGGGAAAAATATTTTGTAAATGTCAATGATGGATCTAATGAAGGTATTCGTCATGTCTCCAAACCTATGAGATCTGTACAATTCCATCCCGAGGCCTGCGGTGGTCCACAGGATTCAAGTTACTTATTTGATGAATTTGTGGATCAAGTTCGTTCTTATAAACTCAAGAATGAAGGTGTTAAAACATTTATTGATACAGAAATTAGAAAACAACCAGTTTTAACTAGTTAAATTATTATTTTCAAAAGCATTCATTTTTTATATTTTTATATAATTAATTATCATTAATTCATTATGTAATTATATATATATATATATATATATATATATATTTAATACACATTAATTTTTGTCAATCAATTTTTATATTTGTAAAAAAAACTATTTAAAAATAAAAAAAACCTTGTTTCACACATCCACCTAGAAATGTACCTACTGTTACTTCACCTCCAAGTTCGCCATTGAGAACCAAAAGGCTAGTTAATAAAAAAGGTGCGAATTTTAGTAATTTATTTTTATTCGTATCTACTTTTGTTTGTTTATTAAATGGACATCAATGTTCACATATGATGATGATGATCGAGAATTTTTTTGAAAGTAAAACATGACTTTCAAGGCAAAGTTATATATTAATGTCTTGCTTCTTGTCAGAGTAACTCTTTAAAATCGGTCAATAAGACACAGCTTTATTGATATAAAAACTCGTTGCTGAAACAACAACAACATACAAGTAAAAAATAATTTGATAGTAAAAAGTTTAGATTTTTAGGATCCTTCGCATGATGAAAAATTTATGTAAAAAAATTCCATCCACACAATCAAGTTGTTAATTTTCGCACCCAACTATTCAGATTTACATCTTGCAACTTCCATAAATCTATGTTAAAGTTATTAGGTACGCCAGCAGGAATATCGCCAGGAACACCATTGAAAAATAAGATGGTAGGAATAGGTATTTGATAGTCTTGAATATTAGCGTCATTACAAGGACCTGCCCCAAATCCGAGACCAGTAATTGTATTGGCTGGCACATTTACAGTTCTTTGAAGATAATTTTGCGTGGAAACATGAAGAGATGCTGTCCCAAAAGACTTTACGATAACAGGCACGGTTGGATTTAATTTGTTACGTAAATAAAGCAGTGCAAGCAATGCAACATAACCATCCTGACGAGAATGAAATAACTTGATTGCCAGATAGATTTTGAATAGTGGTACGTCGAGAATAATATTTTGTTGCCGTTTACACTTTTCGTATCTCCAATTTCCACAACTAAAGTTGGATATGGTTTCCTGTTAAATTGGCTTGCCTGTGAGGGTTGAGGTTCCTTGGTCGAGCACAAACATCAGAACGATAGACACTTCTCGTATCCACAATAACATCTACTTCACCAATAACTCGCAACTGATCACTCCAGTTATCCATAATAACGACTAACTTTGCTTGTGAGAGTCGAGAGACACTTCTTAGGCTTTGATATTTCGGTCGATTAAACGGTATTTGGCAGACATTCTTGGTTCTCCTTCACAAAACTTCCAAGTGATACTTCTCTGTCAATAATAATTCCCTTTCGTTTTACTTCTTCGATTCCTTCTTGTCGCCTGATAGCAAGAAGCTTGTGTCTTGCTGAAATAGACGCCGAGGACCATTTAGAGAATAGTTCATTCTGCAATAAGGGAGACATGATATTTGAATGATGTGAACGACGTTATTTGCAGAAAAAAAACCGAGTTATTAGTAATTGACTATTTTGATAGACACGTGAAAACTAGTTAAATCTTCAAAGAATTAAAACAAATGTCCAAAAAAGGTAACCACCTTGCCATTTTTAGTAAGATGTCCGGTTATAGCTTTTTTATATGATGTATTGCTAATTCGTGGAGCAAATGATCTACTACATTTAATAGTGAATTGTAGGTTAACAAGTTTTAGAAATGAAGGGATTGATTGATGTAAGCCACATCAAAAAAGTGATGGTTTTGTTTGCTAGGATTCTTCTCATGCATTAATTAATCGGAAAAGTAATAATTCTTTATTTATCAAAGAAATTAAATAGTTTTATTAATCGAAAAAGTAATAGTTTTTGTTTGCCAAGATCTCCTTCATTAATCAAAAAGGTAATAGTATAACGATTTGATCTAGTTAATATGCATTTTTTGTTATATTATTCTCGTAAATTCATGTTAAAAATTTACTCGTGATTTAATTTGGCGTCCTCAGAAATTAGAATTTGATTAGATTTTGAGTTGATTTGGTTTGGTTTTGATTAAAGATTATCTAAAATTAAAAATATTTAATTTGTACAACCTTGAAACCTTTGAAAGGAAGGAAGGATATTTGAAATATCAAATATTTGTAATTATTTCAAATATTCATAATTATTTCAGATACTTGTATTTATTTTGAGTTGTAAATTTACTCAAATCCCAAGATTAAATAAATTTTTGATCATAAATTTATGAGGGCAGATCAATTAATCTATCTTTATCAATTTTTTTCTGAGGACACTCGATGTGATTTATGGTTGAGTTGATGTTTTTTTTTGGCAAAGGGAATTAATCGGTGAATTTCAGAGTTTGTGCTTTATCCTTTTTTTTTTTTGAGTTGGCATATTTCCGTGCAGAAGATGAAAAAAAGTTTTTCCATTCAATTCATTCCTTGAGATCAATATTGTATCTCAGATAGCATTTATGATAGGTTCATCGGTGACATCAGGGATATTTTAGTTATTAGCAACCGTTGCAGCTCGGAAACATTGTCGCATACACTTAAAGATGCCTTCTCTTGATACATTAAAGTGATTATGATAGTAAATTTTCACTCTGGTAATCTTTCAATACTCATTATTATTATTGGATTTTCTGAAAGTGCTTGTCTTCTATCATTTAATAATATTTAGAGAAACATTCGCCCTTGCAATTGGCAACCAAATATGTTTCTGCTAATTCATTATTTTTTTCTTGCAGATTTTCTAAATCAAAATCTCTCTTGATCCACAGTAAAATTCAGCAATAAGGTCATGGAATAATTATATGTAACCCAAGATTAACGCCTGTTAACTGAAGATTGATTTATTATTCTATTTTTTTTATAAATTTTGCTTTCTAAATGGTTATCATTTAAATTTTTCCTGCCAATATTAATTACATGACTACAAAAACGACAAATAATCTTCCTTTAACTTTCATAAATATTCACTTGCAGATTGAATTCAAATTGTAAAACAATTAAGTTGATAAATCATACTTTATTATTATTATACTCTGTGCGAGTTCTGCAAATCCGGTTAACGTTTATTCTAAATCTCACTATTATTATTATTATATTTATCGTGTTTCCGCCTGGTCACGAGGGTGATTATGGTAACTTCTTTTCATTTCGGGTTAAATATACTAATTGTATTTGCGGTTCTCGATGTCTATCTAACGATAATGATACGTCTAACTGGATTTCCTGTCCTCAAATGTTGAAATTATCGTTAATATTAATGGTCTTTTTGGCACTTGTGGAACCGTTTAAAGTCTGAAGTGAGAAAAAGGATACAAAGTTTCTAGGAATTCAACTAATAAATTCTTATATGATAGGATCAAGTTGACGCGCCTTGGAGTTAGATTTAGTAATGACAACCAGTGGCACGATAAATTATTTTAATGTTTTTCACATATTTATTCTTTTGCTTATTCGTCTGTTATTTTGTTTGCTCGCACTTTGATTGTTTTTCAGCAGCAGGGGCAATATAATGGATGTTTATCGTTTTGTCTATTTAGATAAAATATCATTATTTTCAATTCTTTGAACCAAACAAGGATGAAAAATTGCTGAAATATATATATACGAATTCATCGCTTCCCTTGATACATATTATTGCCCTAATAACCAAAAAATATTATTATTATTCTAGCAAATAATAAATTGATCAGTTATTATATCATTCGCCGCGACATTCGTCACCCTGTTTTATTTCTTAAAAAAAGTTAAGGAAAAGTAATTACCTGACCCCATTCCTAAAATACTCGTGTTGCTTTTATCAAGATCCAATCTTAATATGCTCATGTTACTTATTTTCGTGATCAATTGATTGCCGTTTCATCACAATCTATTATCAACCGGTTAATTAATAATATTACATAATTGAACATGCACAACTTCTGATATTCTTGGACCCTAAAAAAATTTTTTATAAATAAAATAATGGCCACTCAAATATTAAAAGAGAAAAGTTAGATTAATTAATAAATCGAAACTTAAGATAATATTAATTAAAAAAAAACCCCCCTATCTGGCACCTCTCGTTTGGATACTTTATAATAATATAAAGATATAATGGAATTCAGATATGCCTGGTTTATAGATTAATTGTATAATAGCTATTACCTTAATTAAATTGTATTTATGTATGTTCTTTTGATATTTTCGTAGCTGATGGTGTTTTTTAATAAATTATTTACGCGTGAGTTAGCTGAAGAGGGATATTCTAGTGTTGAAGTCAGAGAAACACTTGCAAAAACTGCAATAGTTATTCATGCAGCTCATACATAATAAAATGTACTTGGTGAAAAAAGTCGTGGAATTCGCGGATTTAAAAAATTTCTTTGAAATTGCATGCAGAAAGGTGCAAGATCGTGGTCTTTGTGCTATTGTACAATGTGAGTCTCTTCGATATAGGTTATTAGAGGGATTTACTTTAAAATTTTTTTGAAAAGAGCATTAATTAGCAACAACAACAACAACATGTTCACTGATTTGTTTATTTATTATAATAAATTAAGGCTTGATATGGCATGCTTCGCTTAATCTGTGGATTTATGATTAATCCAATACGTCGCGTTTTAGGCATTAAAAGTAAAAATTAGAAAGTATGAAATTGTATGTTTGTTATTTTACCTATTTTAATTTTATTTATATATATATCATAAATATTATAATGTTATTATTGTTATTAATTAATATATTATAGGCTGGAGATTCGGATGGAAAAGAGGCCCAAAACCGATTTATCCGATATTAATATGTTATCATTTCGGTAAATAACAATGATATCAAAACTTGATTGATTTTATTATAACAAATTAATTTATCACAAATAAATTATTTCTTTATTTTTAAATCTCCAAGATGAATCCCAATCATCGCACAACCTAATTCTATGGATTTCCAAAAACCAGCAATACCACTTTCTGATATTACGGCTATTTCACAATCATCATCTATTTCTCCTGGAGAATATGAATGTGGCGGAGGAGGAAAAGGAAATCATGAGTATCTTATTGCTCGACTAGATGATACCAACACTTACAAACTTCAGAGTATACGAGTGCCAGATAGTCGATCAAATGTTTGGACAAAGTCACGGAAAAAATATTTAATTGAACTGTTATATTTTCGTGGGCTATGTGATGTTATACCCAAATTTTAGTAATTTCACCAATTTCATACAGAGTTTTGTGTACATATTCGTTCTGATCCATTGATCTAAGAGAATATTAATTATCTGACGGTCAACTAGCCAATTATAAGGAATTGCCTGTGATTTATGGGAAAATCTTACCAAATATAATGAATTGGTGTATCATGGCCATCCTTTTCAAGCTAATGTGTCATTATGTAAAAACAATCCACACATGATCCAATTGAGAAATGTAAAGAATTGACCAGGTTTGAATATTATTGATAGATGTGAATAACGAGAAAATTAGTTGATGGTAATGGTGTTTATAAACAGATATTAATCAAGACGACAGTAAAAAATTGGTAGATCTTAATCAAGACGTTAAATAGAGATATACTTAATGAATTGCTTAATTGATTGATTGATTGATTAATTCATCAATTAAAAAATTTGTAATAACACTGTATATCTGTTCTTTCATTAATCCATTTATTTATTTATTTGTTAATTCATATTTTGATGGAAGTTTTCTTTTAACAATTTTCTTATTTTTTACATTATCACTCATTTTCACTTTCACAATTTGTATTTGATTCTTCATTAACATAAGTTTCAACAATCTTTGATAAATTCATTTTCCAATATATATATACACTAATTAATTATTGAATTATTGTTGAGCAGATGGATGAATTATTGATATTTTTGATGTACTATTATTACTATATTAACGGTTAATCTCTAATATCTAACACTAACCAAAATCAAATGTTACCTCAGTTATGATAATCCGAGGTCCTGCTTGCTTCAAACACCCTTAATATTCAAAGTTGTACAAAAGGGGGTTCACAACAGAATTTTTTATCTCGACGTTAAATCTTTAATATCAAAATCATTTAACCCCTTAACACTATAAATATATAAATATATCTTTGGGTAACTTTTTTTCATTTATTTATTTTCCTACAAAAACTAAATTTATAATTTTTTAACGAAATTTTGCAATTAAAATTATGAATTATAATAAATCAACAATTTTTATTATTATTATTATTACTTTAATGAATTTTCTGGTAAACTTTTTTGAATTACTCTTCATAATTCATTATTGATTAATTAATTGATTTTATGTATTTTTAAAGGTAGCTGGGATCCAATCCGAAGAAATTGATGGTATTTCGGAATTACAACCTAATTCAACTTGGTATTATTGTAGTCAAAAGAGTACTTCTTCAATTGGTAAGTTTAAATTATTGTTTTCCTGATTATAACAATTTGCAAATGGATAATGATATTAATAATAATATAATTATTTTTCAAATTTCTTTATATCATAAACAAATCAAAAAAAAAAAATATATATAGCTTTTAATGCAAATGTAATCTTAAATCAAAATCCAAATCCAAAGTTAACATCAAACTTTGGCACAATAACAACATCAGGTCCAACATTTTATTATCCAAATATTACAGATTTTATGTTGGTTCTAGTAGTTGACGATATCGATAAATATTTATCAACTTCCTCTTCCTCTTCGTCGCCGCCATCGTTCAGTTATTATCCTGATGTTTCATGTGCTTCTAAACCTATAAGAAGATGTTTGAAAAATAGTAAAACTATAGTTCTTAGTTCATATGCAAATTATTGTTTAGTTGTTGTAAATCCAAGTGTTAACACTATTGATTTCTCGATCGCGTTAACCTTTGATAAAAATACTCAAATCTCAAATGGTGGCGATAATCGCAATAAAATGATTGGAAAGATTTTTGTAAATGTCATTGTAATCGCTTTAATTGTTTTCTTGATTGTCTAAATTTTTCTTGTAAATTTATTTATTTATTATTTATTTGTATTATTATTGTTGTTCTGAAGATTAGTTTTTTTTGTAATATAATAATTATCTTAATTATTTGCAAAAATTTTATTTATTTATATAAAAACACTACTACGCAAAATTCATTAAAATTAGCTCACATAATAAATTTACACGCCCACCCCCAGATATAAAATTAACAGTATTTACAACTAAATTGATCAAAGCTTAAGCAATCAACCTATAAAATAAAATTAATTAATTGCAGGAATAAATAAATTTAATAATTCTCAAAATGATATATATATATAGTGTTAAGGGGTTAAATGATTTTGATATTAAAGATTTAACGTCGAGATAAAAAATTCTGTTGT